TCCGCCTCCCCCCTCTCCCTATTTATTTCAGAACACCCTTCCCCTCCCCCATTTCTAATGAAGGGTCTAGGCCCGAAACGTCAGCCTTCCTGCTCCTGTGATGCTGCTTGGCCTGCTGTGTTCATCCAGCTCTACACCTTGTTGTCTCGGATTCTCCAGCATCTGCAGTTCCTACTATCTCAAAATCAAGAAACAGATTTGATTGACCTAACAATTTATGGTTCTGGGTGACTGGGATTCTGCTAGGGGACTGTTTCAGAGTCATTTAATTTTGTCTTGGAATTCCCCTACTGGGGGGATCATTTGCTTCTCAAGGGCACCTTGCGTACTGACAGGGAATGCAATGTGGTACTGAACCATGGTTAGTACCGCTGCCCGGAACCTGGGTTCAATTCCACCTTTGGGTAACTCTCTGTGTGGAATTTGCACATTCTCCTCGTATCTGCATGGGTTTCCTCTGGGTGCTCCAGTTTCCTCCCACAGTCCGAAGATGTGCAGGTTAGCTGGATTGGCCATGCTAAATTGCCCATCCAGGAATGTACAGGCTAGGTGGATTAGCCATGGGAAATACAGAGTTACAGGGATAGAGTTGGGGGGTGGATCTGGGTGGGATGCTCATTGAAATGTCAGTATGGACTCGATAGACTGAATGGCCTGCTTCCAAACTGTAGAGATTCTATGATTGTCCTTAGTACAAACTCCCTATGCATTTGTGGTGAGACACAAACAACATTAGCAAGGGGTGTCCTCAATACAGTCTAGGTAGAAAGACATGGAAGCTAAGGACCCAGGGAAATAAACAGTGATGTCTTGAAAAGAGTCCACGTTACAGAAGAAGAAATGCTGGAGACCTTAAAATGCATAAAGGTAGATAAATCCCTGGAACCTGATCAAATGTATCCCAGGATATTGTTGGAAGCTAGGGAGGAAATGTCAATGCCCTCAGCAGAGATATTTGTATCATCGATACTCATGGGTGAGGTGCTGGAAGACTGGAGGACGGCAAATGTTGTGCCATTATTTAAGAAAGGCTGCAAGGAAAAGCCAGGTAACTCAGGCCTGTGAGCCTGATGTCAGCGATAGGTAAGTTGTTGAGGGGATTCTGAGAGATGGGGTCTACATGCATTTGGAAAGGCAAGGACTGATTAGGGATAGTCATCATGGCTTTGTGTGTGGGAAGTCGTGACTCATAAACCTGATTGAATTTTTTGAAGAGGCCACCGATAAGATAGATGAAGGTAGATTTGATTTGATTTGATTCATTATTGTCACATGTACTGAGACACAGTGGAAAATTTGTTTTACAGGCTAACCAGACAAATCATACCTTACAGGGGTACAATCAGTATAATAGAACAGAATGCAGAATATAGCTACAGAGAAGATGTTGAGAAAGATTAATTCTAATATCAGAGAGGTCCGTTCACAAGTCTGATAACAGCGAGGAATAAGCTGTTCTTAAATCCATTGGCACACGCTTTCAAACTTTGTATCTTCTGCCCAATGGGAGAAGGTGGAAGAGAGTATAACCGGAGTGGGAGCGGTCTTTGATTATGTTGGCTGCTTTCCCAAGACAGAGGGAAATGTAGACTGAGTCAATGGAAGAAAGTCTACACGGTCTTTAGCAAGTCTTCAACAAGGTTCTGCGTGGTGGACTGGTTTGTGAGGTTAAATCACATGTGATCCAGGGAGAGCTAGCCAATTGGAATCAAAATTGGGTTGATGATAGGAGACAGTCGGTTGTGGTACAGGATTGTTGTTCAAACTGGAGGTCTGTGATCACAGTGTGTTGCAAGGATTACTGCTGGGTCCACTGCTGGGTGATGAATGTTGTTCATCATTTATGTAAATAATTTGGATGAGAATATAGGAGGCATGGTTACAAACTTTGCTGGCATACCACCAGCAAAAATTGGTGGTATAGTGGACAGTGAAGAAGGTTGTTGTGGTTCATTGGCTCACCGAGCTAGTTCGTTGTTCCGCAGACATTTCATTACCCTGCTGGGTAACATAATCAGTGCAGCCTCCAATGAAGCGCTGTTGTGGTTTCCCACCTGTCATTTAAACTCTGGTGTCCGTTGATCTGGGTTACCTCACTTCCGGTTTTCCTTTGCAATGAAGTGTATATGGGGTCTAGCTCTATATGTTTATTAATGGCTTTCTTAGTGGAGAACCAGGCTTCTAGGAATTCCCGTGCTTGTCTCTGCTTCGCCTGTCCCAGGATCCTGGTGTTGTCCCAACTGAACGGGTGGTATTAAAACAGTTACCTCGCAGGGTAATGAAACGTCTGTGGAACGACGAACCAGCTCAGCGAGTGAACAAACCACAACATCCACAACCTCAGCTACAAATCTACTCTAAAACCTTAGTGAAGAAGGTTATCTAAGAGTACAATTGGATCTTGATCGACTGGGCCAGTAGACCATGAGATGGCAGTGGAGTTTAATTGTGATAAATGCAAGATGTTACATTTTGGTAAGACAAACCAGGGCAGGACTTTACATTTAATGGTAAGGCCCAGGGGAGTGTTGTCAAATAGGGAGACCGAGGGGTGCAGATACATAGTTCCTTGAAAGTGGTGTCGCAGGTAGACAGGGTGATGAAGAAGGGGTTTGGCACGCTTGCCTCCATTGGTCAGAGCATTGAGTACAGGAGTTGGGATGTTATGTTACAACTGTACAAGACATTGGTAAGGCCACATTTGGAGTAAAGCGTACAATTCTGGCTACCCTGCTATAGGAAGGCTGTGATTAAACTGGAAAGGGTGCAAAAAGGATTTACTAAGATCTTGCCATGACTGGAGGGTTTGAGTTATGAGAGCCTGAATAGGCTGGGATTTTTTCCCCTGGAGTGTAGGAAGCTGAGGGGGTGAGCTTATGGAGTTTTATAAAATCATGAAGGGCATAAATAAGGTGAATAACCAAGGTATTTCTCTCAGGGAAGTCCAAAACTAGAGGGCATAGGTTTAAGGTGAGAGGGGAAGAATTTAAAAGGGACCCCCGGGGGGCAACTTATTCACACAGGTGGTGTGTGTGTATATGGAACGAGCTGCCAGAAAAGTGGCAGAGGCGAGTACAAGCATTTGGACAGATGCATGGATGGGAAAGATTTAGAGGAATATGAGCCAAATGGGACTAGATCAGTTTAGGAAACCTGGTTGGCATGGACATGTTGGGCTAAAGAGTCTGTTTCCGTGCTGAATGACTCTATGTAAGTCACCTTAAAATCAGCAAATGTGTTTAAATAAAGTCATGCAGGTACTGAAGATCACAAATAGTACTGGGAAATATTGGACTCAAAATGTTAACTCTATTTCTCTCTGTGATGGTGACAGACCTGTTGAGTTTCTTCTATTTTTATACTAAATGAAGATGTTATTAGTTAGCTCTGGGCATTTGTATCTATTGTGTAAAATGACAAGCCATTTCCACCCTATGATTTTGTTTTAACAGCTTGTGGTTGTTAGGCATATCAATGTAATTTGTTACTGTCTAATAAGCCACTCTAGGACACTGCAAAATCAATCCATCAGCCACAAGGAGAAGCTGCGGCAACTTGGGTCAAAGCAGCAGAAGTCAGTGGGCGGGGTTGGATGACAGACCACGTGATACTTGGTTAACGCCGCCCATGAGCTCCTTTACAAAGATGACGGTCACCTCTCTCCTCCCCAACCTCCTCTGTATCTCAGCCGACCCCTACCCACCTTTTCCCCCCACCATACAAATTGAAAGGAATAAACCGTCAGCCCGTTCCATCCCTAAACAAAGGAATTACATTTGCGCAGTTGCGCCGATTCCAATACCGTGAAGACACTTGGGAAACCGTCTCCAGGAAGTGACGTAAGTTAAACCGGAAGGTACTTTGGTCTCGTGTGGAAGCTGCAGAGGTGAGAGAGAAAACTGAAAAAGAATAAAAATTCGGGGAGAGAGAGAGCGAGAAAAGTAATAAAAGTCTTATGGTGGGGGAGTGGGGTAGAGAGAGAAGTAAATGGGAGAAGGTGATATTGTGGTAATGTAACTGTCTAGTCATCCAGAGGCCCAGGTTAATGTTCTGGGGTCTCTGGTTAAAATCCTGTCATTGGCAGCTAGTGGAATTCAAATTCAATTTACAAAATCTGGCATTGAAATGTGGTCTTTGTAACGGTGACTATGGTAGATTGTGTAACTATCACGGACTGTCAGAAAAACCCAATCAGTGTCCTTCAGAGAGGGTAAATGAACTGTTAACCTTGCCTGCTTTGACCTACACGTTTCTCCAGTTCCACAGGAATATGGTTGACTTTTGAATGCCTTGAGGGTAGAGAACATATATAAACCTGGTGTATTTTGGTGTAGTGTGTGCGTGGAGAGAAACTCGGGGAGAGGGACAGATAAGGCCTTTGTTGGTTTGTAGAGAAAGTTAACAATTACCTGTAGATGGACTACTGTAGCAGTAATCAGTGTAGGAGTGTTAAATATTGATTTCCAGCCTGTTGGACTTGTAACTATCAGCTGGGACAGTCTTGGAGTGGGAGAAAAATCTTGAATCCAGGATAGATGTGGGTTGAGTCAAATTGCTTCTTGCTCCTTCGTTGTAATACAGTGACCCTGTGCGAATTTCTGCTGAAGATGTAATGTGATTGGAATTCTTATAGCCAATGAGACTGGCTTGTAGTCACTTTGAATAGAGTAAGCTGTATAATAAGGTCTGACATGGGAATGTGCAGCTATCAGAGAGCAACTTTCAGTGCTATTTGAGAGACCTCAGATACCGAAGCTGTCCATGTCCAACTGCGATAAGACTTGGACAGCATCCAGGATTGGGCCGAAAAGTGACAAGTAACATTTGTACCACACAAATGTCAGGCAATAACCATTTCCAATAAGAGACACTCTAACTGCTGTTCCTTGACATTCAATGCCATTACCAGCACTGAGTCTCCAACTATCAACATCCTGGGGGTTATCATTGCATAGAAACTGAACAGGACTCACCACATAAACACAGTCGCTACAAGAGCAGGTCAGAGTAACTCACTCCCTGAAGCCTGTCCATTATCTACATGGCACAAGCCAAGAATGTGATGGAATACTCCCCGCTTGCCTGGATGAGTGAAGCTTGACACCATCCAGGGCAAAACAGCTGCTTGATTGCACCATATTAACAAACATTCAGTCGCTCCATCACTGATGTTTGTAGCAGCAATGTGTACTGTCTAAAAGATGCCCTGCAGAAATTTGCTAAAGATCTTTAGACAGCACCTTCCAAACCCACAACCACTATCACAAGGGCAGGAGATAAATGGGAGCAACACCACCTGCAAGTACCCCTCCAAGCCACTCAGTATCCTGACTTGAAAATATATTGCCATTCCTTCGCTGTCTTTCCCCCTACCCCAACGGCATTGTACCTATAGCATATGGATTGGAGTAGTTCAAGAAGGTGGCTCGTCAACAGCAACTCCAGGACCGGCAAGTGCCCACGTCCTACAAGTGAATAAATGAAGTGGTGTGCTTCTGGACGTCTGTGACACTTTGGACACACAGGCAGGTCCAATTATTTGCCAAACCATGACAAATTGCTTTCTTCCCAATAGGTTGAAAAAGTGGTAGGTCCTGAGTTGATCTCAGTAGGAGCAGGGGTGGCCCACTGAACAAATTCCCTTTATTGATTTTAGCAAAAAACAAGCTGAATCCTTGATAGAATCATCAGATCCCTACGATGTGGAAACACGCCATTCAGCCCATTGAGTTCATACCGCCTTTCCAAAGAGCATCCTACCCAGGCCTTATCTTTGCCCCATAACCCTGCATTTTCCCATGGCTAATCCACCAAGCCCACACATTTCTGGCCACTATGGGCAATATAGCAAGGCCAGTCCACCTAACCTGCTTATCTTTGGACTGTGGGGGAAACAGGAGCACCCAGAGGAAGCTCACGCAGACACAAGGGAGCATGTGCAAACTCCACACAATCACGTGAGGCTGGAATCAAACCTGGGTCCCCGGTGCTGTGAGGCAGCAGTGCTAACTACTGAGCCACTGCGCTGCCCCAATCTGTGGCGTCATCATTTATTGGTAGATCAGTGTGTGGCCTGATAATAGGATGTTCAGAGAGTGGCTGCTTACTCTGTAACCACTGTATGGCCAGCAGTAATGCTAGTCCTATGCCCTTTGTTCTTTGTGTGTTACAAATTGTTTGTGCCTGTCTCCCTTTTAATACAGAAGTGAGGTGAAATCTTTTCTGAGAGTTGTTGGAGTGCAGAATTCTCTTCAGCAGAAGATAGAGGAGACTGGTTTTATTTTTGATTGAGATTTAAGGATCACATTGGGGGGTGAATGACGTACATCTCATCTGAAGTCCCATGTTCTTATCATCTCTCCGCACTTTGTCCTGCACAATTGCTGTAGTATGTCTGTGATATTTAAATGATGATTAGAATTAATCCATGTGATCTGCTTGATGATGTTTTTCCCTCAATGGAATATTCTTGTCCCTGCAAGACAGCAGAAGCTTCAAGCTTCAATAGAAATGCCCTGACGTGAATTTGTACAGGCTGTTGAAGCACCGTTATTTTAAGTTACATCAGTCATAAGAGATGCAGAAACTTTCCTGCATTGTAATAAATCCTATTGAGTGGCTAAGTCCCTGGTCTGATCTTCTGCTGTTATGGATTGCAGAGACATTGATGATCTGCACTCTGCTGGCGTCCTTAGCTGGGATAGTATTGATTCATTTCTAGGGAGCAGTTACATAAACATACAAACTGAGTTAAACCATTCAGCCCCTTGAGCTGTTACCACTATCGGGTGCCCAGAATATTTCATCCATGTGTACTGTTCAGAAGAGGCAAACTATTCGCTTTCAGTCACAGTTAAGTCCAGTTCTGTCCTTGCTTAATCTCCACAAATAGACACTGGTTGCCACTCACTGTTTGTCTCCAATCTGGGGCAATGCTAATATGGCTTACTGGGTGGTGTTCGTAGCCAGAGGCTGTGGATTCAAGCCCAACTTTGGGACTAGTTGACCATAGAAGGAACATTCATGACTTGGTTCATTGGGCTTATAGTCAGACTAATAATCCTTCCAACACATCCCCACTATTATCGAAACAAATGTGTGAAGGTACAACACAAGCCTGGGAATACACTGCATCCTACTGGAACACTACCACCTGCAAGTCCTATCCAAGTCTCACGCCATTCTGATTTGGAACTTTATCACTGTTTCCTCGCTGTTAGAATCCTGGAGCTGTCTTCCCAGCAAATGGAGTGATGTACTAAGCACCACGTGGATTGCATTTTCAAGCAAGCAGCTTTTAACTGCTGGCCTAACCAGCGCTGCTCGCACCCTATGAAATAAAAAACAAAATCTAATTTGAGACGTAATCTGGCACCGAGCAGGTATATAATCCGTGAATGTTACTGGTCAGGATGGAACATTGCTTGTTGCATGGATTGATAAATTTTGTTCAACAGTTGCGTAATGCCATCATTTTGATCTATTGAAAAATTATCTGGGCCTTGTTTAAAGTGAAGTAACTGGAGGCCGTTGCTGTAGTTAACATTTTAAATTGTCTGCAGGTTCTGACACTAACAGGCTGCTTTTACAGATGGCTCAAAGGCTCTTGCTGAGGAGACTCGTGTGCCCAAACCTGAGGAAATCCTGTGGCTCAGTGTGCTCTCCACCCTCAGCTTTGTTGCCCAGTCTGAACACTCTCTCCTGGCACAGCCACAAGCCTTCCTTCATACATCAAGCAGGTTCACCTTTCTCCAGAGGGTTTTGTGATTCTCCAGCCTGTAGTGACACTTTCAATGTACAGAACAAGACAGATTTCACTGACCGAGTTCTGAACAACAAAAAACTGGTTCTGGTGGATTTCCATGCAAGGTGAGTTGACTTTGTTCCATTTCTTGATGGGTTTCTGCACCTTCATCACTACATTTTGGGCAATGCTTGCCAAAGTGGTCCATTGCCAAAGTGGTCATTGCCTAAGTGCAGTGGGTTGCCTAGAGGTAGTGTGCTGGTGGGCTTAACCGAGCAGACGAATGTTAGTGAGAGTTGAGGGTGACTTCAGTTTTGTGAAGAGAGAAACTGTTGGTCCTTTACAGCTGCCATAAAAACCTTGAAAGATTTTAAACTTTTGTTAAATCTTTTCGTATCCATCTCTGCTGTAAGGAGGGCATCAGCTTCTTTAGTTCTCCAAAGAACAAAGAAAATTACAGCACAGGAACAGGCCCTTCGGCCCTCCAAGCCTGCACCAACATGCTGCCTGTCGCAACTAAAACCCCTCACGCTTCCGGGAACCGTATCCATCTATTCCCACACTATTCATGTATTTGTCAAGACGCCCTTTAAAAGTCCCTATAGTATCTACTTCCACTACCTCCCCTGGCAGTGAGTTCCAGGCACCCACCACCCACTGTGTTTTTAAAAAAAAAAAATAAAAAAATAAATTGCCTCATACATCACCCTTAAACCTATGCTCCCTAGTAACTGACTCTTCTACCCTGGGAAAAAGCTTCTGACTGTCCACTCTGTTCATGCCCTTCACAATCTTGTAGACCTCTATCAGGTCGCCCCTCAACCTCCGTCGTTCCAGTGAGAATAACCCAAGTCTCTCCAACCCTTCCTCATTGCTAGTGCCCTTCATACCAGGCAATATCCTGGTAAATCTTTTCTGTACCCTCTCCAAAACCACCACATCCTTCTGGTAGTGTGGCAACCAGAATTGAACACAGTATTCCAAATACGGCCTAACTGAAGTTCTATAAAGCTTCAACGTTACCTGCCAATTTTTAAACTCAATGCCTCATCTGATGAAGGCAAGCATATCGTATGCCTTGTTGACTACCTTCTCTACCTGCGTTGCCACTTTCAGTGACCTGTGTATCTGTACACCCAGATCCCTCTGCCTATCAGTACTCTAAAGGGTTTTGCCATTTACTGTATATTTTCCAACTGGATTAGACCTTCCGAAATGCATTACCTCACACTTTTCTGAATTAAACTCTTATCTGTCATCTCTCTGCCCAAGTCACCAACCGATCTATATCCTGCTATATCTTCTGACGGTCCTCATCACTATCTGCAATTCCACCAACCTTTGTGTCATCTGCAAATTTACTAATCAACACAACTGAAGATCCTCATTCCCTCATGCCATTCTCATAAGTCCCCTTTGCACCCATTCTAAGAACTGGGGATCCTTCAGAGAATTGTAAAATGAACTAAATTTTCCAAGCAGTGTTTTTTTTTTTTTTTTTTACTGAGAATCAGGGATTGGAGAAGTTATACAGCCAAACAGAATAGAAGCAGACCTTTCGGTTCAACCAGTCCATGCTGAACATAATCCCAAATTAAACTAATCCCACCTGCCTGCTCCTGGCCCATATCCCTCCTAACCTTTACTATTCATGTACTTACACAGGGCCCTATGCCTCTTTAAGCAAGGGAAGCAAAGCAAGGCAATGTCTCAGCCAGCAGTCCACCCCCTTTAAAAGCAGCCAATCAGAGCAAGATTGATCCCAGGAGCGAGAAAGAGAGGATCTATGAGGAACTGCTGCTGAGCACGGCTCTGGGCTGGATTGCTGTCAGCTGGATGTGAGGACTGCTGTCTGCTGAGGTTGGTGGGGTGGGGTGAAAAGAGGAGATGCTGTAAGAGAGGGACGAATGATGCACTTCTCAAGGGAGTCAAAGAAGGAGCTGCAAGGTGGGTGGCAAAGAAGGAGGCTCCAAAAGGGTGGTTGGAGAAGAAGGCTGCAAAGAGCAATGGACAGTTTTGAACCTGTCAACAATGGAATACTCAATTATGTGTGAACCAGGAAAAGTTGAAATCATTGAGGTAATGAATTAATTGAAAATAAATGTGAAATCTAGCTTATGGCTGTGTAAGAACAGCAGACAAATGTAAAGGATACTGTTATAGTCAACATGTCAATTGTTAAAATTTGAACTGTGAATGAGAAGAAGGATATTGTTAAGCTAGACAGGGTTCAGAAGAAATTTACCAGGATGTTGCTGGGAATAGAAGGTTTGAATTATAAGGAGAGGCTGGATAGGCTGGGCCTTTTTTTCACTAGTATAGGAGGTTGAAGAGTGACCTTATAGAGGCTTATGAAATCATGAGGGGTATAGATAAGATGAATGGCAGGCGTTTTTTCCCTAGGATGGAGAATTTCAAGACTAGCGGGCATATATTTAATGTAAGAGGAGAAAGATTTAAAGAAGATGAGGGGCAGTTTTTTTTAAACAGAGTGGTTCAAGTGTGGAATTAACTTCCAGAGGAAGTGGTGGATGCAGATACAATTACAACATTGAAAAGACATTTGGATCAGTACATGAATAAAGAAGTGTTTGGAGGGATATGGGCCAAGTGCAGGCAGGTGGGACTAGTTCAGTTTGAGATTATGGTCGGCATGGACTGGTTGGACCGAAAGGCCTGTTTCTGTGCTATATGACTGTATGGCTCCAGGGATGGGGGCTTGCAAAAAAATTTGAAGTTGCTTTTCTTGGAGCTAAGAAGCTTTGATGAAGATGTATAATGTTATGAAGCGTTTAGATTGAATAAATAGAAACTGGTGCCAAAAGCTAAAGGATTGATGATAAGATGAGGCAGGTTTAATTTTATTTTAAGTTGATTGGCAAAAAAAGTCAGAGGCAACATGAGAAAAATGTTTATAGAAACAGTAGTTGCGATTTGGAATGCACTTCATTCCTGAAATTGTGGCAGATACAGATTTGAATGTGGTTGAAAGAAAATTGACTAGAGACTTGTGGGTTCAAATCTCATGTCAGAAACTTACCACTTTCTAATGTCAAGTGTTTATTGAAGGAAATCTGCCCATTTCAGGGGCAGTCTTTGAAATGAGTTGTAAAACTAAGACCAATATTTATCCTCAACCAAGATCATTCAGTCAGTGTATCTGGTAATTATCCCTCTTGTATTTGGGAGATTACTAATGTACAAAAGTAACGGTGGTACATCCTACATTACAGCAGGGTTAATACCTCAGCAGTACTTAATTGACTACAACACTCCTTGGAGTATGCTGAGGGCAGGAAAGGCACTATGTAAATGCAAGTTTTTTTTTATGTGGGCTCAGAAAGCAGTGGCAGCACAGGAGAATCATAGAATCCCTATTGTGTGGAAACAGGCCATTTGGCCCAACAAGTCCACACTGATCCTCTGATCAGCATCCCACCCTAACCCTGCACCTCCCATGGCTAATCCAACTAGCCTACACATCCCTGGACACTATGGGCAATTTAGCAGGGTCAATTTGCCTAACTTGCACATCTTTGGACTGTGGGAAGAAACCGGAGCACCCAGAGGAATGTGCAGACTCCATACAGACAGTTGCCTGAGGTTGGAATCGAGCCCAGGTCCCTGCTGCTGTGAGGCAGCAGTGCTAACCACTGAGCCACCATGGCTTCCCCAAAAATGACACTTTGGAGTTGGACTGAGCAACAGCTGTGGAAGTAAATGGTATCTCTTTTCTACTTGTTCCCATTTTTTGTGACTCACTTGACAGGAGCAGGGAGCTTTGTCTGAGACAGCTGAACACAGTGTCATCTGTGCACACAAAGCAAATGCTCTTCTAAAGTAGTAGATTGGTCGTGAATTTCCATGTCTTATTTTCCACACCTGTGTACACAGATTGAGTTGAGTGCTCATTTGTGTTGAGTTTAGTTTTTTTAATGTTTTGGTTTTATACCTCTGACGATGAAGCAGAGAGCATGTCTGAACTAATCTGCTTTCCTGCTGGAAAGGCTAGAATTTGATCCCTGGTCCTCCTCAGGGAAGGTTTTCACAAACTGTTTCTTCCAGGTACTGCTGTGCTGCTCCCAGATTTAAATGAATTTTAACCCTATATGGCATGGCCTGAAAACTGTTAACCATGTTGAAAGTCAAACCAGGAACTGCAGAGCCATAGCTAAGGGGCTAAGAAACGTGTAAATTTTTTAGAGAATGTAGGAGTCACTGGTAAAGTTGGTATTTATTGCCTATCACTAATTGCCCTTCAAAGCGTGGCTGCGAATTGTTCCAACATAGTGTGCTGTTCAGTGGGGAATCCCAGGTTTCAACCCAATATCAATTCAAGCAATATGTTTCCAAGGTGGTGTGAGAATTGGAGAAGAACTTGTAGATGCCGATTGTATTCCTTTGAGACTCTCTTCCTCTCCTGACACCCATTACCCCTTCATTCGTAAATGTCCTTGGTTGACTCTTAACCTGACGGTGTTTTCCCACCTGAGTCCAGTGAATGCCAACAGATAATTTGACTTTCGGAGTCTCACAACCAATCCTGAACCTGGTCTTGGCTTTTCACACACTATACAAATAGAATGTGATATTTTAGAACTGTGATGAGGTATTATATAAATGGAATGTTTTATGAAAATTATAGCACTGGTCCTCACCTATCTCCTGTACTCTTTTCCCTGGTGAACTCTCCTTTGTACTCCATTATTCTTTGGTAGACCTATAACACTGAAGAAGTTCTTAATCTCTCAGCATTCCTTTTTACCTTGACAGCTGTTTGTGCTTTCAAAACCAAGCTTGGAAGTATACTAAGTGCAGCTACTTGGCACTGCACCTCAGTTCCACTCTGGCTTCCTTTCAATGTCATTGTCATAATTAACCTTCTCAATTTTTAGTTCAACTTTCTCCAAAAGAAATTGCAGTGGACTGCAATCCATTTGCTGTGGAATGTTTTCTTCGCAATCAAATTGATAGTTATATGAACAAACTGGGATTAAATGTGGCATAGTACAGTGGGAATGGTTGTTGAGGTGTGTTACTGTATGATTCTGAACTCAAACTGTCATGTAGTCCTCAGGACAACCTGCTCTGTCAGCCAGTCGTCATGTCTCCTAGTGAGGAATGT